AATAACTATATTTTACAGAGAATCTGAGATTTAAAAATGTACAAAGAATGATAGCTCTAATAAACAGGAAGAAACATATATTTCTGTTATTCTGCTGTTTCCAGCTGTAGAGTTTCCAATTAAAATTCCTTCTTCACATAAATAATATATAAAGCATAGATAACAACTTCTACCACAAAGTCCTTAATATCATTAATTATTTGATCCTCCTGAGGGCATTATAAAATGGATAAAAAAAGAAAGGCAGAATTCTGTAGGTGTAAGGTGGCACAGCAGGGAACTCCACTGATCTCAACATATTAGAGACTGCATGGGAATTAAAGAATTGCAATAAAGTGTGCAGAGAAAATGACACTTGAATGCAAACTCACTGCTTCTGATTTTTACTTTTGTTCTGTTATTTCATTGTCTGGCTTTAAATTGCAAGATGCATTCCTGCACAGAGTGGGAGTTGAAGGGGTTGACTCCTGCCTGCTAATTTCACATCCTGATTGCTGTTGATGCCATTAAAGTCACTCGAGTCCAGAAAATCCAGAAGTAGCTTTGTATTAAAATGATTGCATTTACATTTTCTCAAAATCATTCATCCAAGAGCCTCAAAAGAGATCTGGAAGATTTGAAAACAGCTGGGGAATCTGCAGAAAGCACTTGGCCCTGTGGTAATTGCTATGGTTATGCAAACTACCTTTGTCTAGAAACCACCCTGGATATGATTTAAAGACCTTTTGCATTGTCATCCTCTGTTCCAGCTGTGAGGGCGATATTCCCAAAACAGTCTCTTTCGTGATTATTTCAAGAATCTGCTTGTGAATTTCAGAGACCGAGAGTCAGCCAGGGAGCTGAGCCACCAGGTTTTGTTCTGTGTAAAAAAAGGCAGAAGTAAGCTCCGGCTCTGAGCTGTACTTGTGCATGCCCAGAGCTGTGCTTCTCTGACACTGATGCTGTGAGAGTTATTAAGATCTTACTCCATCCTGGGTGGCTGCTGCATCACCAGGGAGAGGGTATTTCATAGGGTTCAGGCATTTCCATGAATTTCTCAGCCCCTTCCCCACGGAGAAGGGCACAGAATTGTGGGAGGATTCAGATGGAGAATGTCAAAGCCCCTCCTGGATGTGCCTCCCTGGCTGGAGGAGCTCTCAGTGGCTCTTTGCCTGTGGCAGACAGCTCAGAGCTCTGTGAGCAGAGAACTTTGGGGCTTTTGTGCACATGCTTTGCCTTGTTTTGCTAAAAGTACCATGAATAAATAAACAACCCGAGCAGCAGCGCTGTAATGAAGGATCAGTGGGTTAATTGGGAAGATGAGGGAAGGTGATTGTCCCCTCTCCTGCTGAGCACCTGCTGCCAAGTTCATTCATGCAGCAGTGCTGGAGGCTGTTCCTGGAGAAGGCTCCTTCTGGAATGTCCAGAAAGGAGAAAGCAAATCAGATAAATTGAGTTTATTGCTGATCAGCTGCCAGGATTTATCTTCAAATTCTAAGAACCCACTAAAATGTTAACCCAGGGAGTCATTGTTATTCACTCAAGAGCCACATCTCCAGCAACACTAAGGTATATTTATTTTAAGACATAGCAATGAAGGGGAAAGAATTTATTGCTAAACAAAATTCCTAAGTCAAATGGAGGACTTGCCACCCATTGGCAAAACAATTTGGTAATTTAATTTTGCTTTTTCTATGTTCTGCTTGGCAGTTTCTTTTTTTTTCCAGGCATAACATGTTCACTTTTAATCAAACATGGTTTCTTACAAAAACAAGCAAGCAAACAAACAAAAAACCCACAACAAAACAACAAAAACCACAACTAAACAAGCCATCTGTAAGAAAAGAAAGTTATTCTCTTCTCATTGTTTGACATCTCTTCTGAATAGTTCTGACTGTCCAGCCATTGCAACTTATTTTGCACTTAACTAACAGTTAATATCCCAAATATCTTGCATCTCTTTTGCTTTCTCTCATTACTTTGAGCTTGAATTGATAACCATGGTGGCTATCAATTCCAACCAGGAATCAAGAAACCAGCTGGTTTCTTACACTCAGCAAAGCTTCACTGATGAGCACTTTTATTTTATGCTTCTCTCCTCTCTCTCACTTTTTCTGCCCCCTTCTCTTTAGAGTGCATCCTTCCTTTTTTCACTCTGTTATGCTCTGGTTTTGGCTTATTAGAATTTTCTGCAGCAGACAGGATGGAAGTGAGTATCTCAGGAGGATGGAAGGGATCTGAAGCTGTTCCCAACAAGTGCAGCTTCTCTTTTGCAGTTCTTCCTAAAGCAGGTGCCTTCTCTCTTTTGCATATCTGTAAAGTGCAGGGCTGTTGGGCTCAGTAATCAATCCTGTGCTCCAGCTTGGGCAGAGAAGGGCTGCAGCAGGTTCACAGGAAGGAACAGGCTGTATCAGTACAGATTTTAGAGCACTGTGCTATAGAAGTGTAAAAGTCTCTGGAGTTCCAAATAAATGACTACAGATGTGACACCTCTAAGTGGGATTTGTCTCAAAGAAAGAGCTGGAAATTGAGCGCCATATAGTTATTTTCTCTTTTGAAAGGTTAAAGCAAAAGGATTAAGGATGCAGCTTATGCTGGGATATTTTTAATTTTGCAGGAGAATGACAGCAGGCAGACGAATTTATTTTCCAGTATTTGAAAAACAGGAGGGGTGCTGAGAGGGAAAAGAAGGCTATCAGATCAAAAAAGGAACATTTGCACATCATGTAATCACTCTTACTTTGGTAGAGCTCCACACACCCATATTCAGGCAAACTGAGCTACAGAATTATTTTCCCAGCATGACTTTTCCCTTTTTGCCCTGCAGAGAACAAGTATGGAAGTGGTTTAACTTGCACATGTGTGTTAACACCTCTGGCACACCCAAGCAAGGAGGAGTGCAGGGTTTGCTCACTTCCAAATGTGTGTTAATTATTGACTTCAAACACACGTGACTTTTCCACTGCAGCACACTGGCAAATGTGACACTGGGTGTCATCAGGGACTTTGGTCCTATTTGAGTTGTCAGAATTCTTAAGAGCTTATACCTGAAATTTGTCTTCAGTAAACACATATGCTTCCTTTCATTTTAAAAAGGGCACAAGGAAGAACTAGACTATTTATTTAGCTCCAGGGTGCCATCAGTTTTGATGTGACTGTTTCCAACTGGAATAAATAAAACCTCAGGATTCCTGTGGAAAAAAAAATATTAGGAATACTTTTTGTTCTGCAAAGTGACCATATTTATTCTGCTCTATGAAGGAGCTAATTTTTAGATTGACCTTCATGTGTTGAAAATCTGAATTTATGAAAAATGCTGAAATGGTTACATCATCTTCAACATAAATTATAGTAAAAACCTCTCTAGGCCCTGTAAATGTGGTTGGTAGGTGATTCTATAATAGAAAATTATAGAATCACAGAATGTTTGTGTGGGAAGGGACCTGATCTTCAGGAGAAGCCTATTTTCATATGAGCACTCCCAGTGTTTTCTTTCATTTCATGGAATGACATTTAGCATTGCACGTGTCCATTTTAGAGCATAAAATATCAGGAGGCTTTCTTTTGTTCATGATGCATCAGGAAAATGAACCTCAACTTCTTCTTCCAAACAAGGTGTGCAGCTTTATTTTTAAATTGTCATTGGATCCCACATCAACACTCACACACAAACACACATACTTTCCTCTTCTCTGTGCCTCTGAATCATTTTATTAAACAAAATACCAACAGCAAACTAGTGGAAGTCAACATGCACTCTGTTATTATGATTCCTAATATTGAATTATTATTTTATTCCACAGAATAAAGCAGTTAAAAGTTAGAGAATATTTAATTATATAAAGAAATCAGAATTTTCTGCATATTTGACATGCCACTAATCATGATTTATACCTGAGTACTATGACACATACAAGATTATTGATATCTCATACATGTGTGTTTTTAACTGTCTAGAATCTGTAATTTTTGTAACTATGCAAATTAAAATCTGTATGATTATCCTATGAAAAATCAGCTTGTATTCATTAGGTGAACTGAGAGCTGACTGACTCTGAAAGATTTCTCTGTGTAACTCTATGGGTGTGTAGGATCCCATGCAGTCAGATGCCTCTTTATATTTCTAAAATTAACTTTCTGCATATGTGTGCAGAGGTAAGATGTCCTAGACTCGTTTGCTGTCTGCCTCCATGGGAGATACAGCCTGGTTTGCTCTCTTGTTTTCATTGAGGTCAAATAAATATTTAGATCTCTTAAAATTAGCCCCACAACTTTTAATGCATTTAGCTTTACTTTTCTCTTTATATAAAAAGTAAAAATCCTTTATAGCAGAGGAAAATGTGTAGTTTGTGCTTGTAAGGCAAGGAAGATTTGTGTTAATTGGTGAATATGCTTTAAGTCCGGGTTTCTTTAACATTTCATTTCTCTGTTTTTTTACTGGCTGGATTTTTTTGACTGCATGACTTGAAAAAAAAAAAGTGGTGAATCATGATGGAACGATATCTGCAGTGCTGTAGGCAGAGGAGAAATAAGGGATCATGATCTTCTAATCACACAAGAAAATGCATCTATTACATATATATATATATGTAATATACAATGTATGTATATACATATGCATATACATACATATATATTCCAGCTTCTGGAGGCAGCTGGACAGAAAGGGGAGGCATTTCTGTGCCACGTGCTGCTGACACGAGGAGATCACAGAACGTTTGCTCTGAGGTTCCTGAGGGCACTGAGGACGAGCTGAGACGCTGCCATTTTCACAGACTTCACAGAACCACTGGGTGGGAAGAGACCTTCAAGATCATCGAGTCCAACCCAGCCCCAACACCTCAACTAAACCCTGGCACCCAGTGCCACATCCAGGCTTTTTTTAACACATCCAGAGATGGTGACTCCACCGCCTCCCCGGGCACGCCACTCCACGACTTTATCACGCTTTCTGTAAAAATCTTTTTCCTCGTTTCCAACCTAAATTTCCCTTGACGCATCTTGAGATTTTTGCCTTGCAGACAACACCCTGAGCATCCTGGCCAAGCACAGCGGCTTCAGCCGGCAGAAGCAGGAGGTGTACCTGCTGCCCATCGTCATCAGCGACAGCGGCACGCCACCCATGAGCAGCACGGGCACGCTGACCATCCGCGTGTGCGGCTGCAGCAGCGACGGCACCGTGCAGTCCTGCAACGCCGAGGCCTACGTGCTGCCCATCGGGCTCAGCATGGGCGCCCTCATCGCCATCCTGGCCTGCATCATCCTGCTGCTCGGTGCGTGCTGGGCCACGGCCCGGCCTCACAAATCCCCTGCGGGCTCCGAGGAGGTGTGGGGGTCAGAGAGGAGGAGGAGGGATGGTCTGGTCCAGCACCACGTGCAGCAGCACTGGCAGTGCTGGCAGCACTGAATCCCTCCTGTGCTAAGAGCTGGACAGAAGCCGAGAGAGCAAAGTCTTGCTCTGGCGTAGTCACACACACGAGTTACAGAATAAACAGGTGGGGAATGGGAAGCTGAAAATCACATTGGGGTGTTGAGCAGCAAGGTGAACATAGTGTGGACTATACCTGATGGAAAATGGATCTGCTGTATATCCCAAGACTTGTATGAATCATGGAATCAGAGAATGTCCTGATCTGGAAGGGAGCCAAGGGATTGTTGACCTGCAGACCCCCAGGGATCACTGACCCAGCCCCTGACCCTGAAGACCCCCAGGATCACTGATCCAGCCCCTGTCCCTGCAGACCCCCAGGGATCACTGACCCAGCCCCTGTCCCTGCAGACCCCCCAACAATCCCCCCAGGGATCACTGATCCAGCCCCTGACCCTGCAGACTCCCAGCATCCCCACTGTCCATCCCTGGTGTCCAAATGCTCCTGGAGCTGTGGCAGCCTCGGGGCTGTGCCCATTCCCTGGGCAGCCTGGGCACTGCCAGCACCTCTGGGGACACAGAACCTTCCCTGATCTCCAACCTGAGCCAGCCCTGCCCAGCCCCAGCTGCTCCCTGGGTGCTGCCCCAGCCCAGAGCAGAGCTCAGAGCTGCCCCTGCAGCCCTGGGAGCTCTGCCCTCAGCTCCGCTGCTGCAGCTGACCCAGCCCAGTGCCCTCAGCCTCTCCTCGGGTGGCTGCTGCAGGCCCTTCCCCAGCCTGGGCTCCCTCCTTTGGATGCCTTCTTATAGCTTTATTTCTCTCTATTCTATATATATTTATATTTGTATTTTTCTATTAGATGTTTATTCTGGATTGTAATGGCACAAGAGACTTAATCTTTACAAGTTAAGCACTGTGGTATATTTTAATAAAACATACAACATTTGTGTTCAACATCAAGTGAGGGAGAGAAAAGTGAGAGTCCTATTTCTGCACTTTGCTGCTTCACTTTGTGACTGAGATTTACATCAGTAACTGCGGTTTAAGCATTAAACTGCAAAACGAAGCATAAGCCGTCTAGAGTTTTTTATGCATCTATTCATGATTCTGAAATTGAGCTGAGCTCTTTCTATCTCACTTATTTTCTCACTCTCTTTTTAGTTATATAATAGGAGTCTTCTCTTGCAACAGGTAAAAAAAGCACTGATTTTGTTCTGCCATTAGGGCTATGTTTTCAGAAAAACACCCTCTAATTTTTGAAAGCACCATCCCTAATGTAGATCATTATAGACTGTGTGAATAATGATAGCACGACTTCACTTCCAAAGGGAAAAGTCGAGGCTTGAAATTACAAGTATGGGAAATCTTATTGCTTCTATAAAATTGAGCTTCAGATGTAAATATGAGCTGATAATCAAAGACTAGATGACTAATTAGAGCTTCTGATCCAATTTCCTTCATGTGAAGGGGGTTGAAGTCATAGGTCTTTCAGCTTTTCACCCTGATTACTCCCAATCCCACAAAAAGCAGCCTCTCACCTTCCCCAGCTGCACTCACCATGTGGTGTTTGGGTTGGAAATGTTTTGCCTAATCAGCTTGTGGTGCTCTCTTTGCAGTCATTGTGGTGCTGTTTGTGACACTAAGAAGACATAAGAATGAGCCTCTGATCATCAAAGATGATGAAGATGTGAGGGAAAATATTATTCGCTACGATGACGAAGGAGGTGGAGAGGAAGACACAGAAGCCTTTGACATTGCAACTTTGCAAAATCCAGATGGAATTAATGGATTTTTGCCTCGTAAGGATATTAAGCCTGATCTTCAATTTATGCCCAGGCAGGGTCTTGCACCTGTTCCTAATGGTGTTGATGTTGATGAATTTATTAATGTAAGGCTTCATGAAGCTGATAATGACCCCACAGCTCCGCCATATGACTCTATCCAGATTTATGGCTATGAAGGAAAGGGGTCAGCGGCTGGTTCCCTTAGCTCCTTGGAGTCCTCCACATCAGACTCAGACCAGAATTTTGACTACCTCAGTGAATGGGGTCCTCGCTTTAAAAGACTCGGAGAACTTTACTCAGTCGGAGAAAGTGACAAAGAAACTTGACAGTGGATTACAAACTTTTTCCCTGTTGACTTAATGATCATGTAATATTCTAGGGCCACTGCTGTTAGTTAAAACTAATGTGGCTTTTTGTTTTAGAGGCAAGTTTAGCGCCAGTCATCTATAAAATCAACTACATTGTAATGTTGAACCAAAAAAAAAAAAGTATATGTTAGGAGGTTAAGTCTTGTGGAGTGTGAAGTAAAGTATGTGGAGTGTCTAGAAGTCTTTGGATATTTGATATTCACTTGACCACTCAGAAGATGGAGATTGGATCTTTGATTATCTTCAGTGAATTGAAAAGAACAAAAAAGAAATTGGTGCTCTCTTAGGAAATGGACTTGCAGGGATTTGCTGTTGAACAGTAGCTCCTGCCCAGTATGTGTAAAGCTAAAGGTTTGTTTCTGCATTGCCAACAAAGATCCCGCCACAGAAATGTTCAAAGCAATATCTTGGTCTTCTTAGCAATGCTGAGCAGAAATAGCATTGCCAATTCCTACTGGCTCCTACTGTGCAGTGACCATCCATTGTACATACAGTAATTGTTGGCCACGCAACCACAGACTGAATATCATCTTTAAATATTGTGTCAAGCCTTAAAATATTCACATGTTCTTAATCCATTCCAGTGATGGGTAATAAATACTAATGTGTAGAGATTCACAGGCAGGGCTGCAAAACCTTGCTTCACAAAAGGATCTTTTTTTTTTGAAGAAGGATCAACCCTGTGCTTCATCTTCTGAAAGAAAAAACTGTGAAATGGGATGGACTTACATAAATGAAAGAATTGCTGATTTTATTGCTAAAGATCGAATTTATTTGTTTAATCTTTGAAATAAATATTTTATTGATGTCCATTACTGCTTTTATTTATTAAGACTGATAATCTATAGAGTAAGATTATGAAGAAAATTAAATTATATCAGTTAGATTTTTTTTCTATATATAATGAATGTTTCATACATGTACATTTTGAAAAGAAAAATGACAAATTGTTGCAGGTTAAAGCAGTTCCCTGTCCATTTGCAGTAGCTGAATTTTAAGAGAATGCTGGCAGGAATTAAACATTGCCAGAGAAAACTTTTGACAGTTTTATATCTTCTTCATAAATCTTAGTACCTGGTGTTTTTAATACAAGCACAAACAGCTGGAAGTAAACTGGTTCATGTGAATATTTAAACTATAGACTTTTAGAAATCCACACATAACACAGTACAGTAAAAAAAAAAACATGCTTATAGTTCTCCACTGTATTAGAGCAGGAACCAGTGTGTACATAATTTTACTGCTTCTGTTATTAGCATTTTTTTCTATAATATTCATAGTGATGCACCAGGGCTCTTGCACACAGAGAAAGAACACTAGAAGCTGCAAGCATACTCAATTTGTAATGCAAACTTGCCATTTAGAAGTAGCAATTGTATAAGAAAACTACGTATTACATCAAAATCATTTTAATTTTCTACTTTGTTTCGAAGCTATATTATCATTTGTTTATTTACTCCATGTATTGTATTCAGAGAAACTCCTGTATTGTTTCCTACTTTGTGAAATATATTTTTATAAATACTTCTCTTGTTATTGCTTTTCTTTCAGGTTTACCTGGGCAATGCAAAAATGAATCTGCCAGAATAACTTCATAATTTTTGGAGGAATGGCGTTTCTTCAAAATTATTTATTAATTAGTTGAATATAGACAAAATTTAAAAAAGGAAAATGGAAAAAAAGGAGAATATTTGAAACCATTTTTGACAGTGATTGCAGAATTTTGACAGTAATGGGAGCACAGGAGTTGTAAGTGTCTGATTCACTGCACCATGCTGAAAAATAACCTCACATGATTTTTGTTTAAGCATTCCTGGTTAAAACAACCCACTGACTTAAAGCTCCTCAATAACACTTATTCTGCAAACAAAGAATTCTTAACACATCACCCCCTGACTTTTTTTTAGCTGCAGCACGCCTTGGTTTAGTGACTGTAGTCTATGGGCAGCTACACATATACATATACATATATACATATGTATATATATACAACTTTGATATATATAATAAGGATTTTATTGAAATTCTTTCATTAAGTACCCAATACATTTAAGTTGCACTGCAGTAAAACAAAAATGCTTTTGAATAATTGAATCTAAACCTTTTGGCAAAACACTGATCTAAACAGTGAAGTCCTCTAAAGGTAGGAAAGGAGATCTCCTGCAGATTTCAATGAAATCAAACATATTTCTGTAACTCACTACAAGAAAAACCAAATACACTCTTACTCATCACTTGCTCTGGGTGCCAGGCTGTTCTGAGCTGCCATGGCAGATCCAACACCAGCTTAAACAGGAAAGGAACTGGGAGCTGGGCCAGTTTCTGTGTACATCCCAGTGGTGGGAGCCAGGGAAGGTGCTGTGAACATGGATCATGGCATTGGCTGGGGCCACCTCAGCGTTCAGGGCAAGGCATTCTGTGAGTGAGAGGCTACACCAGAGAGTTTAGCAGAGCTCTCTTGTAGGAAAACTCACAAATAGAAAACCTTCTGATTGCCTTTCTGATTGAAAGTTCCATCTGAGACCACGACAGTGCATTCAGTAATAAGATTTCCAGGAAAAAAAATCCCATCACTGGCCCTGTAGGAGAGGCAAAGCATGACAGAAATCTCATCATTGTCAGTCAAAAAGAGATGAGAGGCACTGCTACTGGGCAGAGCTCAAAATTGGGCATTTCTACAGCTTTTAAACAGGAATAGCTACAATGCAAAGGGGAGAAAAAGAATTAATGAATTTCTGACCTGTCAATAGAGATGTGCTGTTTCTTGTGTCATTGCCTCCCCACTGAACAGAAATTATTAATTCTGCAAACTAATTCCATGTAACCTGAATATAAAATTTATACCAATAGCCAATTACCATTTAACCAATAGAGGGTTAAATGTCAATCATTCAGTTTTCTAGTACTTCTCCTTTTTTGATAATTAATTCAGCATAGAATTATTTTGGATAACAACAGTATTTAGGGGGATTAGATCATACTGTTCTACATTTCACATCTAGACTTAGACATATTAGTGGCACTCTTTTTAAGCATGTAAATGTGTAATTCATCTTTTTCAACAGCATTTAATTAGCAACTGACTCATTGCAAGTGACAAGGAAAATGCATTAAATTAGAATTATTAATACTGATAAATTTGAGAAGTAAATACTCAAAATCTTTTACAAGTGCCAAGTGCCTTAGAGACCCATTGATCCTGGCCTGCCTTCACCTGCCTGTGTCTCACATCGTTTGTCACAACCACTAAAGTAAATCATGGCACCCATGAAAGCTGGAATTCTGTGCACATTGTAGGGACACAAAATTCAGCTCAGGCATTTCAACACAAAAGCACTGTGAAGGAAATGTGTGTACATGTTTATTAAATATAACTCAGATGGCTGGAGGTCCTCAGTGTGTCCTGTCTTTTACAGCAGCTGAAAGCAGAGGCTGTTTGTGTGCTCTGACCTTGAAATCAGATCCCAGCAAGCTCATTTAAATACATTTTTTACCCAGTATCATTACACCTTTTTGTTTATGATGACTTTGAAATGACTGTGAAATACAGAGGAGAGAAAATGGCTCAAGACTTTCATTTAAATCAGCAGTTGCTGATCACAGGAGAAACATTTAACACTATGGCAACTCCAAATCCCATCAGCTCTGTGGCAGCACAGCAGTGACAATTCTCAGTCTGGAGAGCAGACAGGATGTCTGCAAAATAGTCTGCTTGGAATAACTCTATTTGTACAGCTCTGCTAGAGATTGAGCTGCTGATTTTAATAGAAAGAGAAAAATAAATCAGCTCTACTACATCCATGCATCTACCTACAAATGTGCGTGGCAATTTTTTTTAACAGCCTGCATGGTCATGGGATTCTAGAACTGAATAAATGGGTTTAGAAAGCTTCTCCAAGGTCTGTCTAGAAGGAGAAATGTTTGGCACTTTTCCTGTATCTGGTTTTCCTGGGATATAATTTCAGTTTGGTGGAGCTGCTTGGCTGTTTCTCCTCCTTTGACTGCTCCTTTCTTCACCACATCTCTGCTGAGCTGGAATACTGGGAGTATAATGTTATGAAGTTCACTAAGACCATGTAGCTCTTTTTCAGTGGGTCAGTGTTCAGGGACTAGAAAATGCAGCTCACCAGGAGAGTGAAATCCACCAAGCTCCCTTCATTCTATAGGGAAGACTGAACAGTCTTGAGTTTCCCATATGATTTGAAGTACTTATCCAGTATTTAAATTATGCTGAAAAATCTGAAGCTAATGATGGTGTTTTTTCATTAATAGAAAAATATAAATAATAGGAAAAAAAAGTTAATTAGCAGCAGACATTCACAAGTGCTTCTGATCAAGAGAAGTGGAAAGTTCATCTAAAGTTCATCAGACAATACAGTGCCAGGACACAGGGAATGGCTCCCAGTGCCAGAGGGCAGGGCTGGATGGGATGTTGGGAATGAGGAATTGTTCCCTGGCAGGGTGGGCAGCCCTGGCCCAGGTGCCCAGAGCAGCTGTGGCTGCCCCTGGATCCCTGGCAGTGCCCAAGGCCAGGCTGGACACTGGGGCTGGAGCAGCCTGGGACAGGGGAAGGGGTCCCTGCCATGGCAGGGGTGGTGTTGGATCAGCTCTAAGCCTCCTTCCAAATTGGGCCATTCTGTGATTCTATGTAAAAATGTTGCTCGAAAAATTGTTTTTCAGACATGGAAAGTTTTTAGGATGTTCTAGTAAACTGAAGCTTAGTAAAAGTAAAAATGTAAAAAGTAAAAAGTGAGAGCATTCTCTGTTGTTAGAGTTTGCTTTCAGACCACAGCATGTGTCATTAGCAGAAAATAGAAAGTACTGATGGAGTGAGCAATGAAAGCTTTCTGTGCTCTATCATTCAGATAAGTTGGACTTTTATTATTTCTACATTTGTATACTATTTGTGCAAGATAATATTCTGGCTTTGCAGAAGGTGGAAACCAATTTAACTTGCTGTATAATTCACAGTGATGGGTTTTGTAATCACACTGCAAAATGAGTCTAGCTGCACTATTATACAATACTGATACTGGCTTATGTGCTGCAGAACCAGACCCTCTCCAACTAATGTCACAGTATTCAAAATGAGAAAATATAAAACTCCTGACAATGCTTTTTGTGCAACTGCAACTAAGACATCTTCCAAAATGGCTAATAAAAGCGAGCTGAAGCTCAGCATTGCTGGCAGAGCCTTGTAAATGTGCTCATTAGCATTGCAACACAACTATCTCTTCTTTTTTTGTTCTTCCTACCCCCCCACACTGCAAACATTAAACCAGTGAAATCAACAACATGAAAATTTCAGCCTTTTCTTCAGAGGGGATATGGAATAACTTGCAAAATTCCCTTTCGTCGCCTGTCACTGTTTCTGGTGCCAGTTTGAAGGAGATTTGTGAGACCACAGGCACAGTGAAGGGATGAATAGAGGTTGCCTGTTTTATTCCATGATTAGAGAAAGCATTTCTAGTAAGGGGCAGTCGTACTTTCCCCTGATATTTTTCTGGACACTCACAAAATACAAATTAAATCTAATCCTGACAGCTCAAATTCCTGTTCATCAGGAGGTCCCAGGCCAAATATTTTGTGTAGATTCATGGAATGGGTGGGATTGAAAATGACAAAGAAAGAAAAAAATTATCATTTTCCACCCCCTGCCATGGGCAGGGACACCTTTCACTATCCCAGGGTGCTCCAAGCCCCGTCCAACCTGGCTTGGACACTGCCACTGACTCACATCCAATCTAAATACAGACTCATTCCATGGAGCTGAGGAACACATAGATTTCTTCCTTTATTCCTGTGGAAATGTTCTGATTTGTGAAGCCTGGAAGAAACAGCCAGAAAGGCAGCACTGGTAACTGGTGGTGGCAAAATGATGAGTGAATCTGGGCTGGGTTCTCATTTTGTATCTTGGGTCTTTGGGTTGGCCAAGCCCTGTCTTGAATTTTTTACCTTCAAAATATTTACAGCGAAAAAAAAGTCAGTTCCCTGCCTTTCATAACAGCTTGTTTCTGAATTATAAAGCAGGTCTTGTGGTTGGGGGGCCTTTTTGTCATTTCTTCCTTTGTTAGTGTAATATTCCCTGATGGCAACACTGACACAGTTCATTCTGCCAAATTTCACAAGCTGGCAGTTTTACCAATGAATATGAAAACAAAAGATGTGCATTTTTTAAACTAAAATATTATTTATATGATTGGGAGCAACAAAGCCAATTGAATCACCTTTAAAATAAACCCCACTTCCACATTTCCTGTCACAGATGGGATTGCTTTTGGACTCATTTTCAGATACTGATATACCAGTGCTGGGAGTTTTATACACAAGGGAATACCACTTTAGACATTGCTGGGGAATATTTCCCATATTTTATAAAAGAAGAATACCACAGCTTTAACCCAGGAACACAGAAACAGGATGTTTTACTTAAAATCACAGGAACAAGTAGAATTCAGAGCTGAATTCCAAGTGTCTCAGGTGTGAGACAGGGCAGCTGGTTAGAGTTATGCTCCAGATTATTTT